CTTCTTCTCTTTTCGTTCTTCCTTTTTTTTTTTCCCTCAATTCTTATCTTTGGATTGCAAATACTAGTACTGTATTGCCGTCCGAAGAATCCTAGTACCGTACCTTCTTATTTTTTGTTGTAATTATTTTTTGTTTTTGTAGGAATGGGAAATACTTTCTTTTGTAAGATCTCTAAAAAGTATGTTGAGATTGTCGAATGCGGTGGGCATTATAACCTATCCGCCTTCACTTGTTTCAACAAATTTCTCGAAAAGGCTGCAGCATTTGGCTGACACCTTAGTTTCTGTGAAAGCAATTCCAGGTGCGCAAAATCTTCTTTCCCTCCCTGTTTTCCCATGCAATAATACACATTTTGGGCCAAACTCTTATCCCCAAAACATGATCTGTGATTTTGTACTTTTCTCAGACGAAGACAAGGAACTAGCTAAGCTTCTTACAGGATATCAGGATATGGTTGGCCTTCTTAGCGTTCATAAAGTGGCTCGTATTAATACACAGGTACCTTAGTGACATGCTTGTAGGTAGATACACCAATCACCTTACCAAGAAAAACTAGCCAGGACTGTTAGTTTTTGCAGTTTATTACTCTTAAAGCAAAGCAGCACTTTTCTTCCCCAAAAAAAATCATACTACGATCTATGGCTCATTATTCTTAATCAGGTCCCGATCATTCTGGAGGCAACAACATTCTCAATGAAACTGCAAAAACGGAGAATGTTGATTTTGGAATGCCTAAACCAAGCCCCTGTGGATGGTTCAAGTGGTACTTCTTACTCTTCCTCTGGAAGTTGTTCTGGGTCTTCGAAGACAGGATCTCTCGACTTTTAGACAGTGTAAGGTGCAGCGTGCCATTATATTTACCTACATTTGCGCCACAATAGATAGATTGTAATGAGATTCAAAGGCTAAAAACTGTTGAAAGCGTGCTTTGTTTCGACTCTGGATCATTGGATTGATTTTCCGAAATTAAATTATTTTTCCCTTATTACTGCTATGAAATTACAATTCCATCCAACTTAACATATGTTACTGGGTATAACTAAGGGATGGCAAGAAAAAGTAGTAATAATGCTTCTATGGTCTCAACAGACTGAACAATATAGTAGTGAGACACAGAACTGCATAACATATCTAAAATTCATATTGAAACAAGTTAACATTAGTTTAGAACAAATAATTATTATATTAATATATCAAAAAAATAATTATTTTAATATAACAAATTTTCTGCAGAACTCCTCCACCAATTAGTATAAAACAAACAGCAAAGTAGCAGAGTCTCATTTATTCCAAATGCAGCCAATCGAAACTTGACTCGAACAATAACCGAATAAAGACCAACGATGAAATTCCAATCACACTATGTTACAGAACTCAAATGACTACTCGGGTTTCAAAGATTTTGCAATGTCGATCACAAAACGATACTTAACGTCAGACTTGAGCAGACGTTCCATAGCGGTGTTGATGTAATCCATAGAGATAATCTCGACATCAGGCAGTATATTGTGCTCGGCCGCAAAGTCGAGCATTTCTTGTGTCTCCTTAATTCCCCCGATCGCACTTCCAAACACTCCTTTCCTTCCTGTTTGAAAACCCAATGCAAAAACGTCGAAGCTCATAATTCAAAACATACTTCACACATAGAGGTTTTTAATCTATGTGACGAAAAAAAAAAGGGGGGGAAAAAAAGAAGACGATTGAAACTACTGAACTAACCCATAATAAGGGGCATAACCGGAATCTCGAGAGGCTTTTCTGGGACCCCAACCATGACAAGCGTCCCGTTCGGCTTTAACAAACTCAATAAAGGCGGGATGGGATGATCTGCAGAGACTGTATCGATAATTCCATCCAATGTGCCTTCTGCAGCCTGTATATTCAAGTTATTTCTGTTTCAAACTTGTTTGAACTTGTACAGACCTTTAAAAAAATTTCAAGTATAGTTACCTTCATTTGGTCCGGGTCACGACTAACCAAAAACTTGTCCGCGCCAAGATTCTCAATGGCCTCCTTTTTCTTGCTCAATGACGTGCTAATGACCGTCACTTTAGTCCCAAACGCTTTTGCGAATTTGACGGCCACATGGCCGAGCCCACCCAAGCCCACGACACCGACATTCAAGCCCGGCTTGTCGAGCCCGAAGTACCTCAACGGGCTGTAAGTGGTGATGCCAGCACAGAGGAGTGGGGCCCCAATGTCGAGGGGAAGATTCTCGGGCCAACTGATGACAAAGTGCTCGTCGGCCACCATGATGTCCGAGTAGCCACCGTACGTGATGCTCCCATCCACGTAAACCTGACTGTATGTTTGTATTGCTTTCGAGCAGTAATTTTCGAGATTGTTTGCACATTGGTCGCATTGCTTGCAAGATCCGACCATGCACCCGACACCGACTTTGTCGCCGACCTTGAATTTCTCGACCTTGGGGCCTACTCTGGTTACGACCCCCACAATCTCGTGCCTGTGTCCAACAACCATTCGTTCTTTTAGGTTATGTTATGTTTGGTAAAATTAACTGATAGATGATAAGCTAATTTATAGTTTATAAGTGATTTTCGAACTTATAACAAATTAGATATTGAATTACCCAGGTACAATTGGATACTGAGTATAGCCCCACTCATTCTTGGCCATATGAAGATCCGAGTGGCAAACCCCACAGTACATAACTTTGAACTCCACGTCATGTTCACCAGTTTCTCTGTATAACCAACCAAATCACACAACAAAGTAAAAATTACTCGGAAGAAAAAAGAAAATCATGAGTAAAATAATTCCTCATATATATGCTTGATTTAAGAAAGGGGAAATGCTACGGTCCCGTTACGGAACCATTCCATCGAGGTTTATAACCGTTGGATCATCATGTAACTGTCGGGAATAGTTGGTCTAACGGTTACGAACCCCGACGGAATGATACCGTAACGGGACCATAACATCTCCGGAAAGGGAAAGATGCAAACCTTCTTGAGAAGTTGAAAGGAGAAAAAACCCCAGAAGTATCTCTGGCGGCCCATCCGAAAGCCTTCACAGGGTGCTCAGTTTCATATGATTTCGCCATTTTTCCAGTGAAAATATGAGAGCAAAATTAGTGGAAATTTTAAAACTGAAAATTCTAAATAATTGGGTCTTTAATTAGGTCTTTAAATATATAGATACAAGCTATGGAGAATGGAGGTATTTATAGCAGTTTTAAAATGAAATAAACATTATAAATTGGCCTGTCGTCATGGCTTACACAAGTATTCTGAACAAAATCAAACCTGGCGACTAATTAACTATTGTAATAAAATAACATTGCCGTTGCTAATTAGTCATTGAATATTTTAGTAATATTCAAAAAGCAACAAATTTAATTTAATTGTTGTTACCCACTTAGTGAATGGTCATAATCGAAACTTCGTTTTATTACCATGGTCAGTCAACTGTCCAATATTTCAAAAGTAAATATAAATTATAAGGTGGCCCCATTTTTTGGCATTTTTTATTTTAAAAATAAAATGATTAATGGATATGTTAGGAGTAAAATGAAATATTTCCGATAAACTAGCTGATAGCTGATAAACTAGTTTATAGATTTATCAATAATTTTCGAGCTTATAACTTATACTTTATGACTTTTAACTAAAAAGTTAACTTATATGATAAAAGTGTTTGGTAAAATTAGTTGATATGCTAGTTGAAATAAAATTTTCAACGAAGCTCATTTAAAAAGCTACCCAAAGAAGTTAATGAGATAAACTCGAGTTTTTTTTTTTTTTTTTTTTTTTT